TGCGCTGCCTCCAGGGATTATTTCTGTTCTGCTATAACATTATTTACTACATTCTTCCATTTTGTATGCCTTATGTTGAAATCTACAGGAAATAAATTGCTAAGATTAACAAGAGAATTAGAACCTCTTTCCCATAGCATGTGGTGTTGGGGTTTCCCCAAAGGGAGTACTTTGTGTTATGTGAATGACGTCCATCAGTGTCAAGTGTAAGCTTCTATTGTATGCAGATGACAGTGCTCTGTTAGTGTCAGGTTAAGACCCACAAGATATAACTAATGTACTATCACTGGAACTGGAGTCCTGCAGCAAATGGCTTTACAATAAACTATTGCTACACCACAGGAAAACAGAAACCAGCACGAAAAGTAAACTGAAAAGTGTAAATATTTTTAATGTCCAGTGTAATGGGGAACCCATAACTTCAGTGTCTTCAATGAAATATCTGGGAATCCCCTTCGACCCAAGCATGTCAGGAGAATTGATAGGGAACAGTGTAGTAAAGAATGTCAGGCTAAAGTTCCTCTTTAGACAGGCAACAATACTCACCTATTTGTGGTTGCAGGGGTTGATTCATAGCTCCTGGCCCCGCCTCTTCGTTGATTGCTACTAGGTCCTCTCTCTCCCTGCCCCATGAGCTTTATCATACCTCGCCTTAAAACTATGTATGGTTTCCGCCTCCACTACGTCACTTTCTAGGCTATTCCACGGCCTGACTACTCTATGACTGAAGAAATACTTCCTAACATCCCTTTGATTCATCTGAGTCTTCAACTTCCAATTGTGACCTCTTGTGTCTGTGTCCCTTCTCCGGAACATCCCGTCTTTGTCCACCTTGTCTATTCCGCGCAGTATTTTATATGTCTTTATCATGTCTCCCCTGACCCTCCTGGCCTCCAGTGTCGTCAGGCCGATTTCCCTCAACCTTTCTTCATAGGACAATCCCCGTAGCTCTGGGACTAGTCTTGTTGCAAACCTTTGCACTTTCTCTAATTTCTTGACGTGCTTGACTAGGTGTGGATTCCAAACTGGTGCTGCATACTCCAGTATGGGCCTGACGTAAATGGTATACAGAGTCTTGAACGAATCCTTACTGAGGTATCGGAATGCTATCCGTAGGTTTGCCAGGCGCCCGTATGCTGCAGCAGTTATCTTATTAATGTGCGCCTCGGGAGATATGCTCGGTGTTATACTCACCCCCAGATCTTTTTCCTTGAGTGAGGTTTGCAGTCTTTGGCCATCTAAACTATATTGTGCCTGCGGTCTTCTTTGCCCTTCCCCAATCTTCATGACTTTGCATTTGGCAGGGTTAAACTCAAGGAGCCAGTTACTTGACCAGGCTTGTAGCCTGTCCAGGTCTCTTTGTAGTCCTGCCTGATCCTCATCCGATTTGATTCTTCTCATTAACTTCACATCATCTGCAAACAAGGACACTTCTGAGTCTATCCCTTCCGTTATGTCATTCACATATAACAAGAACAGCACAGGTCCTAGGACTGACCCCTGTGGAACCCCGCTTGTCACAGGCGCCCACTCTGACACCTCGTCACGTACCATGACTCGTTGTTGCCCCCCTGTCAGGTATTCTCTGATCCATTGCAGTGCCTTTCCTGTTATGTGTGCCTGATCCTCTAGCTTTTGCAGTAACCTCTTGTGAGGAACTGTGTCGAAGGCCGTCTTGCAGTGTCTACCTACTGAGGCTCGCAGGACTCTATGTCTAGCTCCTTTCAATGTCATATAGATTATTCTTACTTTTTATGGTACTCTGCCATAACAATAAAAAAAACTGAGACAGATTACAAATCACCCAAAACAAAATGGTGAGATTCATCCTGGACCTGGGTCCAAGATAGCATGTAGGCCAGGATGAATTCTAACAACTGGATATGCTGAATGTTGAAGACAGAGTAAAATAACTGAAGTTAAATCACGTTTATAAAATTACTCACAAGCAGTGTCCAGAATAACTTGCTGCCAAGCTCGTCAAGGCTGGGAACCAAAACAAGTGTAGTACTAGGGAAGGGAACACAACTTTGTAGTACCCACAGTAGTTGGTCAGACTTCAAACACATTTTATTGTACAGCAATAAAGGAGTGGAATGGACTGCCTCCACATGGCAAAGCCTCTCCTGGCATGAGACAGGTGAGGAAGAGAGCTAAAAGGTACCTAATGAATGAAGCTACAGTAAGGTACCTAATAAATGAAGCTACAGAAAGGGAGGAGGAGTGATTTCTTGTATAGCTAACATTCATGTATCTATTATTATAAGCTGATCAATGTCTTTAATGTTAATGTAAATAATTCACTTTACCTTATTCCTAGTATATCTCCTTTTGTTGTAAATGATTTTCACACAGTTGAGTTACTTAGTTATTTTAACTTTTAAAGTTTAAATAATAAGATATTACAAGGATCCCCATGTTACTATGTATGATTACTGTACGTATGTATACCTGCACTTAAATAAATTTACCCCTGGTTATGCAGAGTATTTCGGGCAACGTATGTTAATTTTGTTCCCAGGATGCAACCCACACCAGTCAGCTAACACCCAAGTGCCTACATGCTGCTAGGTGAACGTGGACAGCAGGTGTCTTAAGGAAACATGTCCACATCTTTCCACCCATACCTGGGTAAGATAAGATAAGATTTCGTCCGAATTTTTAACCCCGGAGGGTTAGCCACGCAGGATAACCCAAGAAAGCCAGTGCGTCATAGAGGACTGTCTAACTTATTTCCATTGGGATCCTTAATCTTGTCCCCCAGGATGCGACACACACCAGTCGACTAACACCCATGTACCTATTTTCTGCTAGGTGAACAGGACAACAGGTGTAAGGAGACACGTCGAAATATTTCCACCCGCCGGGAATCGAACTCAGGCCCTCCGTGTGTGAAACAGGAGCTTTAGCTACCGGGCCACCACGGATTGAACCATGGACCTCGGTGTGTGAGATGAGTGCGCTACCAACCCTGCTACGGTATGGGGTGATGATCTTTATTTACTACAAGTACATGTACATGGTATACAGTCCTACTGACATCAATGACATACTACTATATAGAAAGTCGGGCAAATTAAGTCAGTGTCCCAGGATGCGACCCACACCAGTGGACTAACACCCAGGTACCCATTTTACTGATGGGGAACATAGACTACAGGTGGAAAGAAACACGCCCATGTTTCTACTCTGGCTGAGAATCGAACCCAGACTCTCGCCGTGTGAAGCGAGAGCTTTAACCACCAAGCCACCAGAGCCTGGTGGAAAAAGACACTTATGTACAGTTTAGGATTTATTAGAGGAAACGTTTGGCAACGAGTGGCTTAATCAGGACTGAAGAAGCCTTATGAGGCTGAACTGTACGTAGGTATCTTTTTCCATAACACCAGGAAGCATTCCCAGAAAGCAGAGCTCAGTAAGCTGCACTCAACACTTGCGCCTTCCTTCTGGCCTTTGGACTCATCAAGGACATTATAACACGTATCAGTTCAAGTCAAATTTCTTCCACTTTATCGAGACTAGGCTCGATACGGCGTACACTGTCAGTGGCCCTAAAACAACCATGACGTTCGACTTCTGCGCGAACCTTCGTCGGGAGAGGCCCCTCAAGGGAGGTTCCTTGATGTTGGTGAGGGGCTCTTGATTTAGGGAATTGGATCTGTGCTCCAGTTCCCCAAATTAAGCCTGAATGCCTTCCACATCCCCCCCCAGGCGCTGTATAATCCTCCGGGTTTAGCGCTTCCCCCTTGATTGTAATAATAATAATAATTCGTCGGGAGAAGTGTGACCCCTCCAGACTGTCAGGAGATCCTGGCCTGTACCTGCGCCTTCATGCTGGCGCATTGGGGACATATAATACGCACAGTCATTAATCAGGGCGCATTGGGGACATATAATACGCACAGTCATTAGTCAACTTCACAGATAACCCACACATAGGAGAGAGGAGCTTTCGACGACATTTCGGTCCGACTTGAACCCTTTACTTTGTAAATGGTCCAAGTACGGGCTATTTGTGTATTGTTCCAGTCATGGCATTGTGCCTTTTTTTTTGTTTGTTTATTAGTCAACTTCCTTGCGGTAGATGATTCATTTCCTTTGTAACTTGTGAGTCCATTCAAATTCAAATTCAAAGTTTATTCTCTATTAAGATTACAATGTTGAATTTACAGAATTTGGTTGTTGTGTGGTTTACATGTAGTTAAATAATGATTACAGAGTGTACCACTAGAACGCCTAGCATGGCTAGGCATTTCGGGCAGACTTAGTTTAATTCTTTGTTTTAAAATATTACAAATTATGAGGTAAGTTGGTATTATGGCTAAGTGACTAAATACTAGTTTGTGAGTTTAGCAATGTGAATGCTTTTGTTTTGGCACAGTACATAGTTTTAGTATTGGAGTATCATAGGATTCATTATTTTAAGATTGAGTTTAATATTTCTGTTTATGGTCAAATGGGTGAGTGAGTGTAAGTGTGAACCACCAGGTGGTATTCCTGTAGTTAGTTGATGGGGTGTATCAGGGAGATAAGATGTTTTCTAATGGTAGTTTTGAAGGTGATGAATGTGTCTGCAGTTCTAGAGTTCTCAGGTAGGGTGTTCCAGATTTTAGGGCCTTTGACATACATTGAATTTTTATAAAGGTTTAGTCGGACACGGGGAATGTCGTAGAGATGTTGTACCTTGTACCTTGTTCAGCTATCAAAACTTTGGTGTCCAGTCCCTGGACCCATTATGTACCTCTGTAATCCTTTGACTACCACCCACAGGATGGGTATAGGGTGCATAATAAATATATTAAACTAAAACCCCAATGGAAATAAGTCACTCTGTCTGACTTTTTTGGGTTATCCTAGGTTCTCTACACATATGCTGCTATGTATGATAATTCTATGTAACTGTATTTGTGTATACCTGAATAAACTTACTTACTTACTTATTCCTTCCGGACACAGGAAGGCAGGGCTCAATACGACATACGGATTAGTGGCCCTATGTACCCCAATAACAACAACAATAACCATGACGTTCATCCCAGAAGCATTAATACAGAGTTATGTGTACCCTGTCTTCTTGGCCAGCAATGATGAGGAGTTAATCACTCGCATGTGTTACGGTACACTCATATATGCCTTCCTCACACTAGTATTGCCTGAGGCACCTTATGGCAGGTACACCAACTACAAATTTGGCTTCGGTGTTCCGGTGAAGCTGGCTTGGTGCCTGCAAGAATGTCCTTCCTTCATCATCCCCGTGTGTTTGGTGGTGTATGGCAAACAAACAGCATATAGAGGAGTGGTTAACCAAATGTGTCTGGGCATGTTTGTCATGCATTACTTTCAAAGGTGAGCTTTGTGTGGCTCGTGGCTTGGTTGTTAGCGCACTCGCCTCACACTTGAGTGTCCAGGGTTCGATCCTAGGCACGGGTGGAGACGCTGGGCATGTTTCTTGTACCTGTTGTCACTGTTCACCTAGTAGTAAGTAGGTACCTGGGTGTTAGTCACTTTACACTTACTGTCACTGTTCACTTAGCAGTACTCGCTCCCATCCTGTTCCTCATCCTCATATCTGACATAGACAGGATGTAAGCCAAAGCACCGTGTCTTCCTTTGCAGATGACTCCCGAATTTGCATGACAGTGTCCTCCATTGAAGACACTGCAACACTCCAGGCAGACATCAACCAAATCTATAAATGGGCTCCCAAAAACAATATGAAGTTCAGAGATGAGAAATTTCAATTACTCCCATATGAAAAATGTGAGGAATTTAAAAATATATTGGAGTATAGAGCAAATTCCAACCACACAATAGAATGTAAAAGACCTGGGAGTGATTATGTCGGAGGATATCACCTTCAAGGACCATAACAAATTTATAAATCGCACCTGCTAGAAAAATGACAGGATGGATAATGAGAACTTTAAAAACTAGGGTTGCCAAGCCCATGATGACATTCTTCAAGTCGCTTGTTCTATCTAGGCCTGAATATTGCTGCACACTAAAAGCACCTTTTAAGGCAGGTGAAATTGCTGACCTAGAAAATGTACAGAGAACCTTCATGGCACACATAACTGCGATAAAATGCCTCAATTACTGGGAACACTTGAAGTTCTTCATACTGTAATCCCTAGAATGCAGGCAGGAGAATACATGATTATACACTTGGAAATTCCTAGAGGAATTACTGCCAAACTTGCAATCGAAAATCACTCCCTATGAAGCAAAAGACTCGGCAGACAATGCAACATCCCCCCAATGAAAAGCAGAGGTGCCACTAGCACGATAAGAGACAACACAATAAGTGTGAGGGGGCCCTAGACTGTTCAACTGCCTCCCAGCATACATAAGGGGGATTATCAATAGACCCCTCGCTGTCTTCAGGAAGGCTCTGGACAAGGACCTAAAGTCAGTACCTGACCAGCTGGGCTGTGGTTTGTATGTCAGTTTGCGTGTAGCCACCAGTAACAGCCTGGTTGATCAGGCCCTGATCCACCATGCGGCCTGGTCACAGACTGGGCCATGGGGACGTTGACCCCCCGAAACCTTCTCCAGGTATTCTCCAGGTAGTAAGTAGGTACCTGGGTGTTAGTCACCTTACACCTACTGTCACTGTTCACTTAGCAGTAAGTAGGTACCTGGGTGTTATTCACCTTACGCCTGCTGTCACTGTACACCTAGCAGTAAGTAAATACGTACCTGGGTGACCTGGGTGTTAGATTACACCTTCTGTCCCTGTTCACCTAGCTGTAGTAGGTACCTGAGTGTTAATGGACAGGTGTGGGTGGCATCCTGGAGGACAAGATTGAAGGACCACAATGGAAATAAGGCAGACGGTCCTTGATGACACACTGACTTTCTTGAGTTATCCTGGGTGGCTAACCCTCCCTACCCTGGGTTAACCTGGGTGGCTAACCCTCCCTACCATGGGTTATCCTGGGTGGCTAACCCCCCCTTCCCTACCCTGGGTTATTCCTGGGTGGCTAACCCTCCCTACCATGGGTTATCCTGGGTGGCAAAACCCCCCCCCCCCCTGTCCCAGGTTATCCTGGATGGCTAACCCCCCAAAGGGCAAAAAAAAAATCCTCCCAATTCTTATCTTCTCATAGTCGAGGCTATTTGGTTAGGTTTGGTAAACTTCATCAGGAAAACAGGACAAGTATTTCCTGAAGCCAATCTTAGTCAGATGATGACCTGCCATTGGAGCTTTGGTCACCTGACCAAGGCCTTCCACTGGTTACCGATCCACCCCTTTAAAAATTATGGTCCTAATTATTAACCATTTAGTAGTACAGGGAACCTCAAAAATCAAACTTAACCCGTTCCAGGAGTTAGTTCTAAATTCGAAAATTCTGAAATTCGAAGCAATATTTCCCATAAGAAAATAAGGGGAAATAAAATTTAAATTCCGTTCCAAAAAGCCAAAAATATTCACAAAAAAAAAATACATTTTATAGAGATTAATTAGTTTTACATACAACAAATACTATAGTTTTTAATTATGTATTGTAACATGTACATATAAAATAACATTTTTACTTACCTTTTTTTGGGAAGTTTGGGTTTGGATGGCATCTGGAAGATAGGGAGGAGGAGAGAGGGAGTTGGGGTTAGTGTTGGAAGGACAATCCCCCTCCAGAGGACTTCAGGTAAAGCCCTCCTGGGGTTACTTCCCTTCTCTGTCTTTTAATGCCACTAGGACCAGTTTGAGAGTCACTGGACCCCCTGCCTCACAAAATAACTGTCCACAGTCTTCTGTTTCTGGCGCCTCTTTAACATTTCCCTAAAATGGGACATGGTTCTGTCACTGAACTTGTTGCAAAGATGGCTTGTTTCAGCTTGCTCAGGGTGGTACTTCTGCACAAACATTTGGACAATCATTCCACTTGGCACAAATCTCCTTAATTCTTTGAAGAAGGCACCTCATCCACTCCCTATATTAACACCTTTCGCAACATCAGCTTCCTTGATTTGTTCTTTCTTTTTGACAGATTCAAAGTTTATTCTCTATAAGGATTCAATGCTGAGTTTACAAAATTTTGGGTTTTATTGTGTGGTTTACATGTAGTAAAATAATAATTACAGAGTGTCCCACTAGAACACCTAGCATGGCTAGGCATTTCGGGCAGACTTAGATTAAATCTTAAGTTAAAATATTAAAAAATTATGAGGTAAGTTGGTATTTGGCTAAGTGACTAAATACTAGTTTGTGGTTTAGCAAAAGTGAATGCTTTTGTTTTGGCCCCTTATACATAGTTTCAGGATTGGAGTATCACAGGCCAACTTATGACTAGTTAAGATTCATTATTTTGAGATTGAGATTGATATTTCTGTTTATGGTCAAATGGGTGAGTGAGTGTAAGTGTTAACCACCAGGTGGGATTCCCTGTAATTAGTTGACAGGGTGTATCAGGGAGATAAGATGTTTTCTGATGGGAGTTTTGAAGGTGATGAATGTGTCTGCAGTTTTAGAATTTTCAGGTAGGGTGGGTTTCCCGATTTTAGGGCCTTTGACATACATTGAATTTTTGTAAAGGTTTAGTCGGACATGGGGAATGTTTATAGAGATGTTTGTGTCTGGTGTTGTGCCTGTGGGTTCTGTCACAACTATCAAGAAAGCGTTTTAGGTCAAGGTTAATATTGGAATTTAAGGTCCTGTAGATATAATTGCACAGTAGTAAGTGTGGATGTACTGAACAGGGAGTAGTTTAGATCTATGAAGAGTGGGGGGGGGGGGGGGTGTTGCCAGGGTTGGGATTTAGTGATTATTCTTACTGCAGCTTTTTGTTGGGTTATTATTGGTTTAGGTGTGTTGCTGCAGTTGAACCCCAAGCACAGATAGCATAGGTGAGGTTGGGTATATAAAGTGAATGGTATAGTGTGAGAAGGGCAGTTTGCGGCACGTTGTAACTTTCTTGGAGAGGATCCCCAAACCCTTTTGGATGCTTTTTTGGTTATGTGTTGGATATGGGTGCTGAAGTTCAGGTTGTTGTCGAGGTATAGGCCTAGGGAAATTTGCCCTCATTATGCCTGGCAATTAGAGTGTTGTCGATCTTAATGTTAATTTGCGCATCTCCGGGTCTTGCTACCAAACATAATGTAGTAGGTTTTGTCAGTGTTAAGTGTAAGTTTATTGGCTGTCATCCAAGTCAATATTTTGATCAGCTCCCATTAACAATGGTGTTTAGGGTGGCAAGGATTAGGGTGAGAGATGACATAAGTCGTGTCGTCAGCAAAGAGAATGGGGGTTCAGGTGTTGAGATTTCATTTGGAAGATCATTGATGTATATGAGGAAGAGCAGGGGACCAAGGACACTTCCCTGCGGAACTCCAGTATCAAGTGGCTGTGTTGTTGATGCTGTGTCTTTAATGGTGACATACTGATACCTTTTAGTAAGATAAGATTTGAATATGTAAGCGCATGGCCTCTTATACCATAATGGTCAAGTTTGTGGAGTAGGATGCCGTGATCTACTGTGTCAAAAGCTTTTCTTAGGTCAATAAAAATTCCTAGTGGATATTCCTTATTTTCCAATGCTGTGTAAAGCAGATCTAGCATTTTTATGATTGTATCGTTAGTGCTTTTATTTTTCCTGAATCCAAATTGGCAAGGGTTGAGTATGTTTTGTGCCGTTATAAATGAATATAGTCTCCTGTGCACGAGTTTCTCAAAGATTTTGGATAGCAATGGTAAGTTTGATATTGGCCTATAGTTGTTTAAATCTGTAGGGTCACCACCTTTATGTATTGGTGTAACCCTTGCCATCTTGAGTAGTTTCGGGAAGGTGCTAGTTTCTAGTGACTTGTTGAAAAGTAATAAGAGCATAAGAACATAAGAACGAAGGAACACTGCAGAAGGCCTACTGGCCCATGTGAGGCAGGTCCAAGTCTCCTACCAGCTTAAGCCAATGCACCCAACCTAGTCAGGTCAGGTCACCTTGACTTAAGGGAGGAACACGGCAACCGTCCTGGTAGCACAAGCTAATCAGGTCCAACTCACACCCACCCACACCCACTCATGTATTTATCCAACCTATTTTTAAAGCTACACAACGTTCTGGCCTCTATGACTGTACTTATGCACTGTTGTCTTGGTTTCAGATTACTGCTAACCAGAACTCCTAAATCTTTTTCGCAATCCGTAATATTAAGATCTACATTATTTAGTTTATATGTGGCATGGTTAGTGTCCTGTCCAACATTTAGAACTTTGCATTTGTCTATATTAAACTGCATCTGCCACCTCTCCGACCACTGCATCAGTCTACTCAAATCTTCCTGGAGTGCTCTAAAGTCCTCTTCAGAATGAATTCGAGGCCTATTTTGGTGTCATCGGCAAACTTGCT